TCAACAATCCCTAGAGCAATTCACTGTGGAGTAATAAGGTAAAGCCGTGAGGCACCCAGAAGGGAAGATGGCAAAAGGAGCGCTAGAGCCTTAGCATCTCTTGGTCTTGTATTAGCAGCTCTCACCTCAGAAACATTGCTGTAACAGCAAGGCAGCTGACTCTTCTCCACAGCCCTCACCAGCAAGGATGGAAGAGGCCTGACACTACTGGAGATCTCTGAAGATATTTTCTAGACAAGATTTTAGCATCTATCATGCCCTTCTTCTATACAGCCAAGAGATGCATTCTCTCCCACAAGTCACAAAATAATTCAGCACTGATACTGAAATTCTCTTAAAAGATTTAAGATAAAGAAAGAAATTTATTCTGCTCTTTGGAATGTTACAATGCAGGACAGGAGTCTGTTTCTAGAACATTTATGGGCTATTTTTCGCCTACCTATATGATGTGGTATTAAGGTAATGTCTTTGACTCTGGACTAGGTGAAAAACTATTATCTGGGAAACCACCAAACCAAAGAGATAGCGACAGTCTCTGATCTGAACACTTTTAAATTTAAACTACAAATAGGTACAAATACATATTAATTGCAGTAAATAAATAAATAAATAATAAGAGAAAAAAAAGAGAACAAAAGAAAGTAATGACATTTAAATGGTGATGTATAAAAATGTCTCCAAAACACACCTGTTTTAGAGCTTGAAAAAGTCTCGAGAAATAAAATATTAGTAGAAATTAAAACACTAAAATAGAGTTTTATTAATAACAGTAAATGAAAACAAGCAGAGCAAAGAGGGCAGAAATATTTACACGGGAGGAAAGTGAAAACCAAACACAAACAGCTGTCACAATTAGGATGGAGAAGAAATAATTTATTTGCCAAAGAAAGGAACACAGTGAGCAAGTTAACTTCACAAGCAAGGTTGCCATAAAACGAAAGGATGGTTATCCACATATCTAAAAAAGGGAATCCATTCCATACTAGATCTGAGGAATGTTATTATTCAGAAATCAAACAAGGTAACTATGGACCAATAAAGCAAGCTGTTTCCAGAATTATAACCTATTACACAGTTTAATATTCAACCTAGCAGAAAATATGGTATTACAGGAAATTAGGAGAGTGAAACATGTGAGATAGATACACTTTAGGTCAATAAACTTTTCTGCTGGTTACAGTCTTCTTAGTAACATACAAGTCTACTGCTAAAAACACTTCTGAATGGTTGATAGTTACGTTAAAAGACTAAACCACAACTACACTTAACACAGAAAAACAATAATTTTCTATTAATTTGCTAATCTTTGTTTTATAAAAAATATATTTTAAATGAGAAAATAATGTATAAATCTTTTGCAAACACTACTGAATCAGCTACAACAGTTGCAGGCACTTTCTGGGCAGAAGAGCAACAACTAGGAAACAGATAGGAGCGAGGTTGGCATCATGCACATCTGTATGATCAGAAAATCATGTAGGTTCAACCCAGTCGAGTGTGTGCAAATATATAGCCTCTCCAATTAGTTACTTTTTTGTGTGTTTGCTGTTGTATCTATGGATCTTCAACAGCAAATTAGATTATCCTTGACTCAGTGAACTGAATGCACAGTGAGACATCCAGTAAACTGCATGAAAGCGTAAGTGTAACCGCCACAGAGCAAGGCCAAAGAATGTTCAGCACGGACTGCCTCTAAATTTGGTACTAGAAAATGAAGAAATTATTACTGAGCAGCACTAATAAACAAGCCTTTATATACATGTATCTGCTTTTATACACATCTACATGACTTGATAAATGGCCCAAGACACAAATCTAGATCTGCTGTAAAAGCACAATTACTTTAGAAGTAGGAACTTTAATTGAAGTCTCAATAAAATCTCACCAGGTGCTTAAAATTTAGTATGATTTTCCTTACATTGCTTTGCTACTATTTTTTCCCTAATCAATATTTATGGTTTTATTTTTACTCTTTTCTTCCATTTCTGTCTCAACTCAATATGTAATTCTTTCCCCAGCCACAAATTCCATACTTAAATCCTACATTTTGCTACTTTTCTTAATATCTTGCCTTTATAGCTTTCTTTCCTTTGAGTCTCATTCTGTTGCTGTCACAGTATGCTTCCCTATACACAGCTAGCTACCAAATCCCCTCAGCATGATCACTGTTTAAAATTTCAGTCTCCAACTTCCCCAATTCCCAACACACAACATCCCCAACAGGAACACAGCACAAGAATGCTGTTTTCCTCTCACTCATTTACACATGGAACCCTAAGAAATGTTAAACAATTATTTTCCACTGGTTTTAATTTACAAATAATGAAAAATCTGCCTGAATTTGCCTTGAACTGATGGAAAATAAGAAAATAAGGAATAAATCGAAGACAAAATCTGTCCGGCTTCTCCATTCTGAAAGACTTTGGAGTGAAATGCCCCAGCAGAGCTCTGGCTCATGATAACACCCAACCACTTTTCGATTAGGCCAACGCTACCCTGCAGAAAACACTCATGGAGTTACCAGACGAGTTGATCTCATCTTACGAGGTCACTGTACTAGTTCTAATTATTCCAATCTAAATTACAGGCTGGAACCAGCCAGCTACCCACCAGGGATCAAGAAAAATCTCCTAACAGTTTAAGCGCTCTACTCTGATTGCTTTTCAGTCTCAGCCTTTCCGAGCTGCTTCAGGAGCTTAGACAAGCATTTCTGTCCCGGCCACGCCGCTGAGATCAGCCGCTCCTGCGGTACAGAACCAAATGTGTTCAAGATGGATTAAGTGCTACTATGGGGAAAGCTCCAGCTTCCTCCGGCCCTTCCAGCTAAGTCCAAAGCTGTAGGTAGCATTACTATCAGCTAATGCAGGTCTGGCACAGCATCATGGAGATTAGCTTCTGAAACCCAGCCTTGTAAGGTAATCTTCTTTACTGCTCTGGGCCTGACACTTGTTACTGTCATGAAAAACAAAGAAAGAAAAAGCAAATCTAGAAATAATTCTTTTCCTTCACATCTTATACATCATGCATGTCCGACTTCTACACACAAAACCATATTTCTACTGATAGCTCCTGCAGATGTGTGTAAAGTTCCACTAGGTGGAAGGCAGGATTGCATTTACAAAAAAAAAAAAAAAAAAAACATAACCTGAGTTAGGTCCCAAACCAAAAGCCTACAGAAGTTAGGAGATAAACTCTCACTAATGTAGTATGTTTTGGATCAAGTGCCAGATCTAGTCTGTCAGCCCCAGCCTATTTAGATGTGCACCTGAAAACACAACACATGCATCTAAATGCAAGTAAAATCACATGTGACACCACAATCTTCATACATTTTATATAGATTTGCATCTGTATATATGAATTAATAATTTTAAGAGCCTTTCTAGATCAGACATTTGTTTTACTAACATTAAGTAAGGATTTTTAACCAATTTCAACTATAGCACTCTAGTTAAAGTCAAAAGCAGAACTTCTCCAATGATAGCATGAAATATACTTTCATAAAATAATGCCTTTATAACTTAAATAAAAATCAGAGGGAAATCTCCTTTACTTCTTCTGAAGGATACTGAGCTTACATCACAAACTGTATATAAAGGAAAAAAATAATGACAGGTTCTCTCATCCCAGCTCACATAATGAGACCAAGCTCACATTAAAAAACCTTTTAAGTGTCAGTAAAGAGGTGAAAAAAATCTACTATCTACTTATTAAGTCGGTATCAGATCAACTGAAAAACCTGCAAAACAACAAACATATTGGAAACACAGGCTGTTGAGCCCGGAACTTGGCATTACAAATATTGCTAGCTGTGCTCCTAACCCTGTGCACACCTCGTTATCATGGCACAGCTGCAGGGGCAGACAACTCACAGATGAAATATATATCATTATGAATAAACGTGTGACATCATCCAGTAACCTATTAGTCCAACAAAGCAATACAGAAGAACTGCTGAAATTCCCTCATAAATTGGCTTTTCCTCCTTCTTCTTTGGGGAAGAGGCCTCTTTAAAACAGAAAGGGCAACACAAGCTCGCCTGGAGTTGCAGCCACTGGGTGTTTGGCTCGGGTGCCCATGGCACTCTCAGCATAAGGATCTGTGCTGTGGACCAACTTTCTGACATGCTGTTGGCTCTTCCCTACTTCAGGAATTGCAGTACAGTCAACCTAGTTTTAAAAAGTACCTGACTATCTGCAGTAGACTCAGAACTTTAGCTCACTACCAACTTCAGCTGATTTCAAACCAGTGACCTAAAGGCACATTATTTATGATTTCTCTACCAAAGCTCCTCTTCAGTCCCTTCTCCCACAGGAGGCCCATGCAGAGAAGGCACAAACCACATTTCTGCAGAGCAGCTTGAGGCCACCAGGCTTCGATAAAGCAGCTGTCACCAGGGAACACGGAAGGGGTGACAGGGAAGGATAAGTGGAGCGGAGCAGAAAGCGTGACGGACATCTCACTGTGAGCTAGGCAAGAGCCATGCCCAAGCCATGCAGGACAGGCTCCGTGGGGAAACAACATCTAGACCCAAATCACACAAAGCCAATAAGCTTTTTATAATCCTGTCCTTTTTCTTTCCAGATCCTTTTGCTCATTTGATGGCCTTCAATCAAGAAATGCATTTCTTTTCTTCAGGCCACAGGCATATGAAAAACATGCATCTACCTTTACTTTAGGTACTGCCTCCAGACAATAAGTACGACACAAACAGCTCCTTCCTCGCTTCTCACACCCACCTTAAACTCGCACATGCTCTTACCTACTTATTTGTCTAGTAAACCTAAGGCAAGCCAATGCAAAGGCAGAGTGCCATTATATTTGACAAGAGCCCCTACACCAAAGAAAAGCTTTGTTTCTGGAGCACCAACGTTTCTGCCAACAAGAGAACTTAACTGTGTAATTGGAATTCTCAAGCTATTCACCATAGCATGCCACTGAAATGAGAAAGCAGTGTAATTAAAAAAGCACATGTATAATCATTAAATGAGAGTGCATACCTTCCCTGATAGCTGTAAATGGGGTTCCTTCCTCTTCCTGCAATCTAATCACTTTCAGTGCCACGAGCTTCCCATTTACCCTGGGAAAGAAAGAGGGGAGGGGAAGGAGAAATAAAAAACAAAATTAAAGCAGAAACAGTATTTCTTATAAATAGAGCTTGTTTCCCATCATGTACTTATCCAATTTTTTCCTGTCAATGTCAGTGATTCATTTATAGCGCTGCAAGAAACACTTCATGACTTCCATAATGTCAACTTTATATTTTCACACTCATAAGCAATCCAAGAAATGATCTCAGTTTTCTGTGAGTCAGTCTGTTTCCTTTCTATCACAGCACTAAATCGAAGCTTTGTTAAGGAGTATCACATTGCAAAATATGGTTTTAATGCATCTGTCCTTTAATTGATCAAATTGTTCCAACAAAAAAGGCATATAATTTTCATCAATTATTCTACTTGAGAGTTTATGCACACCTATATCAATTATCTTCCTCCTCCTGTAACTATTGCTCTCCAAAAGCTAAGGATATGGGAGACAAGAAATATTTGTCAGGTCATTTTCTGATCATTTCTCTTCAGAGAAGGATTGTTCCTAATGTACATTCTTTACTTCCCAGCCCAGGCTAGTTTTAGATTGTAATGAGTCTCATTCATAAGATTTAAAATACTTTGTACTCCAAGAGACGAAACTTCGCAGCCAAGGTCAATTTCTTTTCAAACGTTACTTGGCTGACTTCACCAGTAGCATTCAAACCTTCACTATACATTCTCCCCATTCAAGGCCTCACAGAAAAAAAACAGTTGGTCCAATTTATCCAAATAAAATCTCCCCAATAACCGAATGAGGTATAAAAATTGATAGAGATTACCCTCCTCAAGAACAAACCTGTATCTCTTCACTTCTAACTGACTCCTCAAATATGAAAAGAATGGGGGATTCCTGAAAGGGCAAAATACAGTTGCTAAATAAGAAGGATCATTACTGAAATTTCTTCCTGCTAGCCCTTACAGCCACAGAGTCCAAGGGAAACCATGGAGCTTCCACACTCCTGGGGAAGGGGGGCAATTCCCTATTGCTCTGAACCCTAGGAGTATACTCTGTTTTCAAAGGAAGATGACATGGACATCTACTAAGTTTGACTTCATCTTCTCCCTCAAGCTTTTTATTTTTGCAGTCGGACAAGTTCAATGACAAGACTGCTACTGTACATCTTCTTCTGATTATCTTTTTCTATTGCCGGAATCTCATTAGACTTGTACAGTGCATTATAATGACCCTGTAAACAACCTAGAGAGCCTGATTATCAAAAGATAGTTTACTTATCACCTTCCAGCCATTCATAATATTTCTGATTGGAATCAGCTCAAGTCTCAGGCCACCAGTCACTGTTGACAGGGAATTATCGGCTTATTCCTAGAGGATTATCTGAATTTCCCCTTATGACAGCTTTATATTTATTTCTGTTGAGACTCCAACCAAACTTCTTCTGGCATTAGGAAAAACAAACCCTGCCTCAGTAACTTTATGTCACACACAGATATAAGCATAAACCATAACGAAAGCAGAAGCAGAAAGATTGATGACAGATGTTAGGTTCACATAGATCTGTAGTTTTCAAATCGACCTGCCAATCATGTAAATAAAAGTAATTTAGATATCTCAATAATTTGGTTCTTTTACAATTAATGAAATAACTGCAAGAGGGATTTAAATGAGGAAAAACAAGATGGTTTTGCAGATCAAGAACAGGATCTCTATTCACTCCATTCTGTTAAGCCAATGCAGAAGATGGTGGAGAAAGCAGACCGAAGAGGCACCAAGGATTTAGCATGTGGAACAGTACAGTTCGAGAGACTGGCATGTAGTATGCAGAGACATAAGGGTTATGCTTTTCTTAATCCAAAATTCTACATTTCACTGATCTATTAATAACAAAATATAACACAAATAGCAACAGTATACAACTGACTTTGATGAATGCAAAATTACACAGCGTTCTTAAACAGATAATGTGGTGGGCTGTGCCATTTAGTTAAAACCGCCACATCAGTAGATGTCACCATCTTGATAGACATCAGGGCAACTCTTAATACTATTAAAATGACTGAACTAATCTCAAGAAGTATTTCTCTGGGATTGCATTCCCCCTATTAGTATTATTTACCTCCCCAAACCTTTGTTTCTTCAGCTCATTTTCTACAAATGTAAATAGGGACAGAAGGGCACATCCACACCCTTCAACTCTTCTCCCACTGGTGCTATCTCAGGATGCAGTTACATGATATTGCTCAGATGAGCTAATGGCTGCAGCATCTGGGTATGTACTTACCCCTGCTAAATCCCTGCCACACACTCTGCCTCTGTCCTACAACAGCATTTTTCAGAAAGCATTTTTCACATTTTGAATGTAAAAAAAGAAAAAATACTAGAAATAGAATGAGAGGAAGAACTAGGACCATGTATTTGTGCAGAAGCTAGCCGCAAAATCACATCAGCTATGTCATGATATTATGCCTTGAATCTTGTGGTAACTTGCCCAAATAATGTAGCAATTGCCTTAGAAACAACACTTAGAAAAGTGAGACATGGGCAAAATTAGTTCTGCAACATATTGGAATTTGCCCCTGGTGTCCTTCAGTAGTGAACAGACTGGCAAAGCTCTTGCCATGCTTCATGTTTTTCTTCCAGAGCTCTCTAGGTGTGTCTGTATTTTTGTTGCTCTCCCAACACAGGCAGCCAGCCCTGTCGATGGTGACGGGCGAGCGCCGCTGCCCAGTCTGACACCCTGGATTCACTGACCCACCTGCCCCTGCCCAAGGCCAACAGCCACGGAGCATCTCCAAACAACACCCTTCACGTGGCCAAGGATTTCACTGATCCCAGCAGCTTCCCCCCATCCTTGTCAACCTCCTCATTAGTTCTATCAGGGATAATATTGATTACAATATTCCTTATGTTTTAATTTACAAGCTTTTGCCCTTTCCAAATTTAAAGATTTCTTTTCTCTCTGAATCTCACCTTCCTTTCTCATATACAAAAATCTCACATACACAAAAATGGAGAAAAGTCCTGAAGTTTCTCTCAACATCACATAAAGTGACTTCAATACGGGAGTGTGTTGTCTAGGAAAATCACTCACAGCTGATGGACAGATTATAGATTTTTGAGAATTCAGCATTTTAATGGCACTTAAATACCTTTATTTAATTTCAGACTTTAGATACAAAATAGACAAAATAAAAATGTCCCTGTAGACTTTTATGTGGCATATAGCAAAAATCTGTATATTTGAAAAAAATACAAATGAGCCAGATGTTATAAAAATTCTAATAGTGTCACATTTTCTACAACAGCACCTATCAGCAACACCAAAATAAATACATTGATACAAATGACCACTTAGGAGAAAATACAGAAGATTAGAATTAATTTATTATTTTAATGCATCATTAAGAAAATATAATACTGATGAATATAAAGTAATTGATGATTTAATTGGCTTTCCTTGAGATAATGCTGACAATGCCATATAGAGGAAAAAGGATGAAATTAACACGCTCTTCACAAGTCCTTTGGCTCAATTTAGATGTGATACATTTTATAAATATAATATACTTAAAGGATTCAGCTAATAGAACAACTGCCTCTCTGATTTCAATCTGTTACTATTGTATAGAGTTTTATTGCTGGCTGGAGTTGAGGTTTAGCTCCTAGCCCTAGCAAGACCTGAGCTTGGGAAGACTTCTTCAAAGAAAAAAAACCAGATTGTATTGCCATGGTGCATGTATTCCTGATGCTTTATTTCAAGTCATTAATTTTTATACTCATTTACAGGGAAAACACAAAGCATGGTCTTCAAATGCAGAAAACACCTAATCAAATACAGTCTGCAGTTATACTAACACCCCAGACTTCTAAAATGCAAAACAGGCAGTGGTCTAAACTGGCTTTGACAGAATTTTCCTTTGAAGGAAACTTCACAGAACAAATTCACTGTCAGTTTAGTCACCTCAAACAATTCCATCAAAGAGTAAATAACATCACATTAGGAGAAACACTTCCTTAAGTCATTAACATTGAAGATGTGTAAAAATTCATTATATTGTATTTCTCATGTCAAAAAAGACTTATAATTTACAGAATATATTTACAGTTCTGCTACAGCTGTAGTATGCAAAATATTCCACAGAATAACAATTTCTCTTTCTGACTTTAACCATTTTTTAAAAAACACCTTATTTTGAAGAAACTAAAGGATTAAAGATACTGCATAATGTTAACGTTTACAAGGGCTGGAAAAAAAAAAAAAGATCAGTGAGTTCCAAAAGCTACACAGGATCTTAGTTATTGAATAGTGTTGTCACTGGAACTCAGGGATGCAGCTTTTTCCAAGCACAGGGAAGCAGAATCAGAACATTCTAGAGCTCCTCCAGGACCCGCTCTCCCAATCTCCACGAAGCAGGGAAGCTTCTAGTTCATGAGAAAAAAACATTTTATTTATGAATCTTGATTACTGTGACACAGACTATGCAATAGAAATCCTGGTAACAGGTTTGTTCAGACTCCCTCTCTCTCCAAGGAAAAAGGGGAGACGTTGTTGAGCCTGGGATAGGCAGCAAGTAGAGGACTGTTCAGCCCTGGTCCTGCTCAACATACCTCACATCTTTTAGGACCCTACAAAAGCTCTTTCTCACACAGGGAGAGTTTAAAGACATCAGTATAAGAACAGCAGCCTCTCCTATAGTTTTGCAATCTTTAAGATGTTCTTTTGGAAGGTATTTTTTCCATGGCTAAATGGGAAGTACCTGAGTACATGGCATAATGACATTTAGTTTGGGAATTTGTTCAGTCAGCATCTGTTCTACCATGTCAGTGACGTGTACATATGCCATTGCCATTAAATTGCTACCCATACTATTTAGAATTGCATTCAGTGTAACTTAGTCTATCCCAGTTTTCCCATCACATTTTTATATACAATCCTAGGCAAGTTACATAATAGCATTTTCTTTCCTCAGTTTCCACTCATTTGTCGCAAGAGATAATGCTCCACTGCCTTTCTAAAGTACTTTGTAGGCT